TGAATTTTCTCAGCGCTTTATGTTGTCCGTCGTCTTCCATCGAATCTGTACAGACTGACCATCTGCCGTTGCAGCCCAGCCAGTACACAGCTCTTGAAGCTTCGCATCGGCGTGTGTGGTATGTTGGCGCATGACAGACAGTTGAGACTCGCTGTTAATAGAATGTCCAAAGGCTTGAAGTTATTCTCTTGGCAACGAAGCGAGGTAAGTATATTGGGTGCAGCAGTTAACTGAAAAGTGCCACCAATTCCAACGCACACACTTTTTTAATCCATGCGGATTGACCCTTTGGACCAACTGGCAGTGTAGCAGGTAAGGCGATTAACACTTTGCGCTATGAAACCCATTACGAATTGCAGCCGTGTTCGCAGAAATGTATTTCGTGCTCTCCGGTACTGCGGTGGCCGCTACTGCAGCCGGTGCTGTGTCAGGAACCTTGCGCACTCTAGTTGCACGCAACGTCTGATCGTGAGTATCTCGAGGGCGTATCAGATTCATCGGAGAATTTAGCGCCACCTGTGTACTTGATAACTCACCAGAGTCAATGGATCGTGTCAGCAGACCGTAAGGGCCCATGGCTAGGTCAGATATAGATCCTGAAGAGGCCTTGAGCTCGTCTTTAAAAGCTTTAGCTAGCTCTGCTGGTATAGGAACACTGGCGGCGCATGGGGGAGGCGTTACGGTCCCTCCACCAAGATCATCCATGCGCATGGTATTTCCAAACTCAAATGTGCTGTCCGCCATATTGATATCGAGATCATGGGAGTCCAGGTGGTCCGGGCCCTGGGATAATGTCGAAGCAATTTTCCGATGGAGCCGAATCAGGTAATGCAACCCCAGGTGATACCGCCCCCGGTGCTGCCTTGGTTGGCACACTTAATAAGCCTCGTAATGCTGCGAATATAAGATGAAAACATTCGCTGAATTGTCGATCGAACCCTCTCCCTGATTTTTCGGCCGTCGCAGCAGGCAACTCGCTCGGCTGTGGGATAACGCACTTATCCGCAACCTCGATCTCGGGCGTCTCATTCGGTGTAATTTTTGCCAAGAGGCGTGTCAATTTTTGTAATTTATATGTGGTCGTTTCTGCTGCTTTCTCCGCTCGGTTCGCCTCTTCACCAGCGGATCGATATTCGTACTCCAAAGTAGGCAAGTCTCCATTCGCATAGTCGAGAGAAGCATTAAGGTCGAGACCTGTATCTTCTCGATCAATAGCCAATTCTAACGCATGAGCGTGAGCCTCGAAGTAGCAAGCTTTCTTATCTTCGGCATCAAACTTCTTCTTTGCAGCTGTTAAAGTCAGAAGTTCGACTGTACGCTGTGCGTCCGCCACTTGAGATTGAGCCACCGCTATAGCCGTAACCTTGTGTAACTTCGTAGACGTAGCGGAAACTGCAACAGTGTCCGTTGCCTGATTGGACTTGGAAGCCGTACAATCACCTCTGATCATTCAGCAACCGCCTGTGCACGCTGCTTAGCAGCCCTGGAAGCAGCGGCTGATGTCACGAAAGGTGTGGCCGCAGGTGCTCTTCCTTTCGTAGGTACTTCTGCCTTAGACGACGAGGTAGGTTTAGTCGACACTTTAACCGGATTCATCGCGCTCTGCTTGGCGGCCGAAGCCGACCCCTGGGTCGACTTCTGACTGGTCCCCTCGGACGAGTTTGACCTCGAACGTCGTAGCAATGCATCAATAGGAGTCGCCGCTTGAGCAGATGAAGTCGCGTTGGGACGCAAGCCCCGCTTTTTCTTGTTCGTTCTTGGGTCAAACCACCCGACATTAGTCGGACCAGCGGCACTTGTGGCACCGCCACTCGCTGATGGCTGTCCACGGGGAGAATAGGGGGAGTATCCTCCCTAGGACAGTCTCTCGAAAAAGAGTCGGAGATCTTTACTAACAGTAGTGCCTTGCAAGCTTCATCCTTCAGCTTGGCCGTAGATGCCCGTAATGTCTCTGTCAGTCCGGCGACATGCTGCAAGCACCCGTTCGCATCGAGGTTCTGAGAAGTCAAGACGCTTACTGTTTCGGCAACATGGTGCATACTGATGAACTCGCGTGATGTTCAAATAAGAATCCGCCCCTGATGGCCGCGCATTTTGCACTTGAAAGATACGGCGAGTAACAAGAAAAACAGGGGACTCGTTGGAAATGACGGTGGTGATGGATAAACAATGTCGTGTCAAGAGTCGTGATGTGCGTCACCAACTTGATCTCTTTGGGGCATGAAACGGTTATGAAAGTAGCGACAAAAAAGTTAGAATCGTACGCCTCTGTCTCATTCACCCCCCCCCCCCCCCCGAACCATCGACGTCATCGAGCAGGATGACGCAACATTATGCAGTACCAAGTGAGATTATTGGTACAAGGTGTGGCCGCGAGCACTGTGCAAGCTATCCTCTCGTCGAGTGTGTCCTGCTCGAGAGGATAGCTTGCACAGTGCTCGCGGCCACACCTTGTACCAATAATCTCACTTGGTACTGCATAATGTTGCGAATTAAAGTAGTACTGGATGTCAATGAAGTAGCGATGTCATCCCTCTCCATGGTTGCTGGACACAATAGTTGAAGGGGAGTACCACGAAATGAAACAAATTTGCATGCTAGCTTTCCGCAGCCGCCTGTTCAGGAAATAAAAAGGTGAGACGTCGAGTGTCCTAATTGTACGTGCGCTTTGCCCCCCCCCTGACTAGCTCCCGACTGAGTGAATCAGAATTCGTCTCCCCTTCGCGTCGTTCCAAAAGTTGTAGAAACAGAGTTTTCTCAGCAATATGTTGAGGCATACGGACGGAAGGAGGCACGACCGAAGCCGGTGACCGAAGCCGGTGACCGAAGCCGGTGACCGAAGCCGGTGACCGAAGCCGGTGACCGAAGCCGGTGACCGAAGCCGGTGACCGAAGCCGGTGACCGAAGCCGGTGACCGAAGCCGGTGACCGAAGCCGGTGACCGAAGCCGGTGACCGAAGCCGGTGACCGAAGCCGGTGACCGAAGCCGGTGACCGAAGCCGGTGACCGAAGCCGGTGACCGAAGCCGGTGACCGAAGCCGGTGACCGAAGCCGGTGACCGAAGCCGGTGACCGAAGCCGGTGACCGAAGCCGGTGACCGAAGCCGGTGACCGAAGCCGGTGACCGAAGCCGGTGACCGAAGCCGGTGACCGAAGCCGGTGACCGAAGCCGGTGACCGAAGCCGGTGACCGAAGCCGGTGACCGAAGCCGGTGACCGAAGCCGGTGACCGAAGCCGGTGACCGAAGCCGGTGACCGAAGCCGGTGACCGAAGCCGGTGACCGAAGCCGGTGACCGAAGCCGGTGACCGAAGCCGGTGACCGAAGCCGGTGACCGAAGCCGGTGACCGAAGCCGGTGACCGAAGCCGGTGACCGAAGCCGGTGACCGAAGCCGGTGACCGAAGCCGGTGACCGAAGCCGGTGACCGAAGCCGGTGACCGAAGCCGGTGACCGAAGCCGGTGACCGAAGCCGGTGACCGAAGCCGGTGACCGAAGCCGGTGACCGAAGCCGGTGACCGAAGCCGGTGACCGAAGCCGGTGACCGAAGCCGGTGACCGAAGCCGGTGACCGAAGCCGGTGACCGAAGCCGGTGACCGAAGCCGGTGACCGAAGCCGGTGACCGAAGCCGGTGACCGAAGCCGGTGACCGAAGCCGGTGACCGAAGCCGGTGACCGAAGCCGGTGACCGAAGCCGGTGACCGAAGCCGGTGACCGAAGCCGGTGACCGAAGCCGGTGACCGAAGCCGGTGACCGAAGCCGGTGACCGAAGCCGGTGACCGAAGCCGGTGACCGAAGCCGGTGACCGAAGCCGGTGACCGCAGTCGCGAACGAGACTCGTCCAGCGCCCTTGGCACAGGACCAGGTACGTGTTCCCACTGCACTTGTGAATCTTGGTTCTCAAGTGGTGAGGAGCATCGCCAAGCGGCACATCGCCATCGTCATTGTTCATGGGTAAAAAAAGGCACCCTTCCTCGTGCCAAGTTAATTTATTTACGTACTTAGCCGCAAATCAGGAAGTGAACGTTCGTCAAACGGATGGAATGATAAAAAGAGCTCCGACGACCAAAAGATGATAACATTCCTATACCAGGATATTGGCGTACAAGCGCCAACGAAGCGTAGCAATGGAAAATTGCCATTTGTGTAGAGCTCAAGTTCATGCGTCATCTGTAGTATTTCGATGGTCAACGCGCCATTGATATAAGTGGGTCTTTAAGATCAAGCGCAAAGCGAATGCTCCACTCGAAAAGTACAAGGCACGATTGGTTGATAAAGAGATCCAAGCAAAAGTATGGCATCGGCAGTGCCGAGAGTGGTCAAGTATTTGACGCTGCGCATGGTAATTGCAAATCTCAAGTGCTTTATTCTCAAGAAGAATCTTCATGGTGCAATCGTGTCACGCAAGAACATTTATTCTACATTTTAATGGCAAAAGTTTTACCAGTCATGCTTTTACCATTGACCAAGTGAAGGCGGCACGTTTGACGTCCTGCAGTATATCTAGACATTCCAAAAATGGAGGCAAACAAACGGGTTACAAACGCAGCAGTGGCTACGGGCGTGACTTTCCTCGACAAGTTATTAACAGGACACCGTCGGTAATTACGCCCAATTTCCTTCGACTAACAAGTCGTGTGCCTAACGCACATCTTTTTGACAGCATGGAGACATATCGTAGCTGGGCTAGAACAAGCAGCGCTTGGACATCATTACGGAGCATTTAGACGATGACGTATAGCAAATTGAGTAGAACGAAGGAGAGGGTGAAATATTCAATCGCAAAGCGACTGAGTGTACGTGTGGCTAACTAAACTACCTAACAACGACAATCGATAGATTACATTTATACAAGGACACTGGTGCATACAGGAGCACTTTCATGTACAAATGGGACTGTGTGACGAAGAATTCTTCGCGCAAACAGCTCAATTTATTGTTTACAACAACATAGCTAACCAAAATCTACGCTCAGTATGAGGCAGGAGAACAAATCCGGGAATGGGATCAGTGTATAAGTGTGGAAACAAACTTGAAAGAGCGGACCTTGTTCTGCATGGTCTTATTCATCCCAGAGATAGGGTCGATCTCGTTAGTCTTCAACATGTTGCTGTAGCCAGAGAAACGCTGTTCCAGTCCAAGAAGGTTTACAACACTCTGCAAGAGACTGTTGTGGGGATTGTTGTAGTAATCGTTCTCGTAGACAATCACGTCGCAGGTCTTCGTGTCAGTTTTGAATAGCATTAACTCTGTGATCGAGTTTCGATACTCGTCCTCTACAACTGGCACAGCATCGGAGTAGCAGACACCGTATCCTTTTCCAGACTTAGGGACTCCAAGGAAACACGCACGTCCAGCCTCTTCGACGTAAATTTCTTGAATGGAGTGCTCAGATGTAGTGAAGTTGTAGTTTGCATTCGCTACGTCCTTTGAAAAGACCGCGACATACTCGTCGAAGGGCACGTCCGTCACACGCACGTTTACTACGAGATTGCAGTCCTTTTCAAACTTGATACTCGCGATCGTAAGCGGTGCCAAAATCGGGTTCACCTCTGTGCGGCCCCTCGCACTTCTGCCGACGCAAAATTTTTGTCCGGTGAAGTTTGTCTGCTCATAGAAACACACGAAGCAGTTACCACTCGGCTTCGGCAAGACGTTGATCTTGCTCCTAAATTGTTCGATCCACGTTTCGCTGCTAGAAGAAGCAGCAGAAGCCAAACAGATTGCAAGCGTGCAGACAGCGAGGGAGGAGACAAGACGAAACATTTCGAACAAAGTGCTGCGAGTAAACTAGTAGTAAGCGAGTGCTGTGGAGGCAGGAGCAAATGAAGTTGTGAGCTTGATCAAACCAAGAGTAACGTGGCTTGACATACCAATGCTAGATCGGCTTCACTGGAGGAAGAGGGAGTCACAATTTGTAATTCATAGTGCACAGCCACAATTGTCATGTGGCTAGTAACTACCAGCAACAGTTTTTTCATTCGAATCAGCAGTAGTAAAACGCAGTTAAGTGAACGGCAGAGATTGTTGTTGACATCTATTCCCTCAAACAGACTTTCCTAAGCACCGAAATAGACTTGCCCAGACTACGTTGCATATGTTCGTGTGCCTTAAGCTGTACTGCTTCCTCAAGTTCTCATAATGCTGCATTTCTGCGCGCGACACGGATAGACGACCTGCGCAAGCGTCGTCATAAAGTGTTCATGACTAACGGGCACACTTAGCTTTTCTGCGACAATCCATTGAGAAGCAAGCGGATTGTTACGGGACTGCAGTCCTCCGCGTTGATTTCTTCTGGCAATGCCACACTAAAGCACAGTGTGTCAGAAGACGTACACGCATATCTTGACATTAAAGCACATACCAAGTCGTCGACTTATGACTCGACGCAATCCATTAATGCAGCCGCTATCACACTAGAGCTGAACAAGTCGTGAGGTTGGTCGGACAATGCTCAATTGTCCGATCAACTTCACGCGCTAAAATCAGCATCCTCGGCCAGCGCAGACTTGCGCGTGCAGCACTTTTAGCTGTGCTCCTTTTTCATGTGTTACAAAGGTACAGTAGACGATCAAAGTGCCGGGTGCGGCAAACCCGTTTCCAGCAAGTCTGGGCGGTTCGTAGCACAGATTACAAACACTTTGTCATTGCCGCTGCTACTAAGCGATCAATCTCCGTCAATAGCTGTAACATCACGCAATCCATGACACCACCAGAGTCCGATATCCGCGCCACGCATGGGTGCTAGTGAATCCATCTTGTCGAAGAAAAGAATGCAAGAGCGACAGCTGCAAGCCTTTGCAAAGACCTGCTGTACATTTTCTCTCGTTTTCACCACCATGTGTAGCAGTTCTGACGCTTCACGCTAAAAAAGGTGACATCGCGCTCCGGTGCAAAGGCCTCTGCTAACAATGTTCCATACAACAACATCCCAAATTTATTGATGCACTTCACTGAGGAAAAGTTCCAGTAGCCGCACATCATTTAAGGGTGACGGAAGTGATCTAGAAGACGTAAATCAATTTCGCATTTGGATGAGATGTGTACTTATCGTAGCCGATGACACCTGCCTGAGATTGTGGCTCTGTGCAGCTTTCTCCACATCCTGTATCGAAACAGCACACCGAACACTAATGGAAGAGAAGAGATTATCGGAATCGCCAAACATCAGGTCGCTTAAGACTGTTACTGGTGTCAATCTTATCACCAAAACCCTTTCGATTGCAACACTACCAGCATCTGCGAACATAGCCATACTTCGGCCTGCTGTACCTCCCATAATCGACGACCTCAATAAACTATGTAGATACCGCCATGTGCTGCAAGAACTCGAATCGCGTAGGCTGGTTACGTACCTCACGGGTTGAAAGCCAATACTTGGAATTGAAACCGATGAAACATTCGAGGTCATGGAAAGTCTCACATATGGGCAAAGCGTACTAGAGACCGTAGATTGTCTTTGCTAGTTTGAGACAGCTGAACTCAACGCAAGACAATTGTTTCATTGAGAAATGCCGTGACCATGATGAGTTGGCTCAAAGGCCTGTGAAAGTGACATAGCTGTTATCGTGTCTGTAGCCCCAGCAACCGTTTGACATGGGGTATTGAGCATCTGCCTCACGCTGCGGCTTTCAAAGACATTGTCTAGACCACGTTCAGCGTTGCGTGATGAAACTCTGGAAATAGCGCAATGACATTATCGACGTCAAAGTTTACAAAGTCTTGTAGCGTGTGCGACCCGTGAAGTTAAGATGACTTAGCATTGTCGACTTACCTGGCTTGGGAATGCTCAATAGAAGCACATATTGGGGGACGATAAGGATAAGTCCTATCGCGCAAAAGTGTGCGATAGGAGCATGCAATCGCAACGGGTTGGAGGTGAAGCATTCCTGGTCATTCTTGTGTAGTAGGAGTGTTTGGCCTGCGTCCGCGTTCTATTCAGTTGTCGCACCACAAAAGCGGTGCCTTCATGTGACGTAAGCCGATCCGCTTTTTGAGTCCCGCTTCCTCTACGCCAAATCTGCAGCAGTCACCTCGTTGTCTGTAGATACAATACAAGCAAGTTTTCCACTTCTGAGGCGAGACCTTGCGTCGTAATGAGGAAGTGGAGAAGGTCGTGCATATCGTAGGGGTATTTTTCTTCAGCGAGACTTTGCTAAATGAACAATGGATTGTGCTGTTGCTCCAAGCAAACGAATTTTGTTTGCAATTGTTGCGCTCTTCACTTTTTCGACATTTCGTGTTATGGACCTGATCATTCAATTGTTTTCTCCTGACCCGAAATCCGTCGAAAGTATGAGAACAGAACGCATTTGTGGTAGTACAGCGAGACGAATGACTTGAATCTACTAGCACTTCCGTCTAATCAGGCACGCGTGTTTACCAGATCGCATAAGGAACTGTCGTTCAGATGTTTACGCACAGCCACGAGTGCCTCTAGTTGTATGGAACGCAAAAAGTCACCCTTGAGCTGCTCTAATCGCTCTAGTCCTTCCGGAGCACCAACCACACTCATGTCCACTTTCTCCTCTTCTGCAAGTCTCGGATTGATGAGCTTGACAAAATGAAACATCTTGCAATTGCTAAGCTTCTTGAGCACTCGCATGTCGTCACTATGCAGCTTCTCGCCAATGTATCCACGGATGCTGTGGCCATGGCGTAGCAGTATCGTTCCGTTTTCTATGAGTCGTAGCAGCCCCATGGTATAACTTTCTTCCTCTGGCTTCCAGCGACCCTTGCGCAGAGGACACATTAGCGCGTAGATACTAGACGACTCGAAGCCTACGTTCAGGAACGTTGCAACCCAGTCGACCTCGTCGTGGCGATTGCGCACGAGACTATTGGACTTACGGAGCTCCTTGGACTGAATCACCAGCGTCGTAACAGGAAAAGAATCGCGATTTTCCACATTTGTGTGCTTGTAACAAGCTCTCCTCGGTGTCTTGGTCTTAGTAGCAAAAGCAGTCGTTCCGAGGACTCCTTCCCTCTCACTGTAAATAATACGTGAGTTGACCGTAACAGGCGAAACGTATTTCTCCATGTCGCTCAAATTGCTTCGAATGTCGCGCTGTCGAGGCGCGGACACACTGCCTTTTGTCAAATGCTCGATACGGGGGATATCTCTCGAATCCATGGGTGACTTTGACGTTTCAAATACAGTCAGTCCGTACTCTGGTTCGTAAAGAGGCGGAGGCAACGTTGGTGCTACAACGCGTCGTCGCTTCTGGACACTCGTGTCGATTTCCACCGCTTCGTGTCGACTTGAGAATCCTGCATGAGTGTGTGACGGTGACAAGTGATGATGGAACCTGCCACTGTTCTTGTATTTTCTAGGCAATCTCTGATCGTAGATATTTAGAATCCATCGGCGTCTCGGTAGGGATGTGGATCTCGAGCGGGTCGATACTATGGTGGCAAAACAATCGGCGTCTTCCTGCAGGATCGTGGCTCAGTCTATAGGAAGGAGAGTCAAGTGGCACTTGCGAAATATAACGAGACGAAGTCTCAATAGGCGTCGGGCACATTTGACTACGAGCGTCTAGAGGTGACGAAGGCATATTGATACTTGAAGCTACTGGAAGAGGCAAGTGATGATTCCAGTCCTCCTTAGCAGCAGAAGAAGGACGTTGTATTCTTCTTCCTTCATGAACTCATCCTTTGTAGAAGCTTCTGTACAGTAAATTTTCTCTTCTTTGTGTCTAGAGACTGTAAGTTTTGAGTTATACTACGTTTACGAGCGACGTAATCAGCAGTACAGCTGGACCAACAGACAGCAAAATAGTAGAGAGCGGAGCAGCTACTGAGCTATGAAATGTAGATCCGTGATCTGCATGTACATGATTCTTAGCTATCGGTGATTTCCACTGCTGTTGCATTAACAGGTTCCCACTCGAGCTCATTGAAAGCGGGGAAATGTGCAGTACGGTCTGGTCGCGCTGCAGTGTAGGTGTTGCCATTGGCATGAAAATACCAGTAAACTCTTTCTTTAGAGTTAGTATACAGCAGCTTGAAGAATGAGAGTTAATCGATGCATAACGTATTCATTATCTTCTAGCTATGGACTTGAAAGAGATCGAACTAAAGCTGCAAGCTTCGATGAAGTTCTTTTTCGATCAAAAAAGACGCTTTCTATTTTCGGCTCGGTGCAGCATCTCGACACGTTTAGTTTTCTTCTATACAAAAGTGCAGATGTGTATCATCAACCCTTTGCTCGGCACAAGAGAAGAAATTGAAATGACGTAAGTAATGTCTTTCATCTTGAATCTTGACGAATAACTACTAGCGGGAATAGCTGTAAGTTAAATATAAGTCGTTTACCTATCGAGATTAACAGCATTAGCGGTGAAGTTTTTCCGGTTATGCCTAATTTGGGCACGTTGTAGCCAACTGCAGTATGTATCGGATATTATTTCTGCTTCAAGATTAAACTAGGAACAAATGTCGTGGTGCTACTGTATAGAATGACATGCAAAGGTAGTCGAAAAGCAGCACAAACAAGAACTTACCCTGACAACAATGTTGCAATGTGTAAGAGTTTTGTGGCAGTGTCAAAAAAAAATTGTGCTGATGCAAGGTGGTTACTGAGTATACATTGTCGGCAAATATCTAGGGCTTGTCATTTTGTGCCCAGTTTTGATAGCCATTGATTGTTACACTGCCAAACCAGAAGACGACGTAGAAGAACAGTTTTGACGCCGCTGTGCTCGCTCATGCCTATGTGCAAAATTGTCGAAAGTAAAGAATTAATGTGATTGACGAGTTTCAGCCTCATCTTGTTAAACTACCATCATTATTGGCAATGCTTGTAATGTTACTAGGCTGAACTACGCGCAGGAGATGTACAAGCTGTTGGCATTTGAATACTAACGACATAACTAACCAGCGCTTCTACCAATTCATGGATTGAAAACGTTCCAACGAGGCTTGAGTCTCTCCAAGGTCCTTTTGAACCTTAATGCGCTTGTAGAAAATGGGACAATCGCGACTGGTGCACAACACGTCTTGATGCAGACTGCCCTGGCAGTTTTGGCATTGCGTCCATAGTCGCGCAAACATATGCTCAAGCTCATTGACCGACTGGAGCTGCCGTGAAAACACTTCTGCCTCCCGCTCTACGCAGCTGCGGCAAAGCGCTCCTTTGCCGCTTAGCGGGGCCTTACAGCCTAGACACTTGAGTTTCTTCACCGCAAAGTTCATCATCCCGCCGCTGTTCTGCTTCAAAATGGGTTTAGAGCGCTTGAGGGTGTGTGTACCGTTGAGCAGGTCCGACTTGACTTTGCTCAGGCCAATAATGGGCTCGAAAATACGCTCCAGCGGATTCTGCAACTGCTGCTTGAGATAGTAGTCGCAATCAATTGGGATGCTATTTTCCAAGGCATACACAGGGTCTTCCGCCTTTTCGTACAGTGGTGTGGCTTTACCCTTGTCGATAATCACATAAGCGATACGTTCACCAAGTGCTGGAGCGGACCCAGCATCACGCTTGCGCATGCGTTCAGCCAATTCAGTGTGGGCCTGTTTTACCTTATAGTCATCTTGATCAACCGTCTTCTTTAGCCCTTTCGTGATCACCAGCAGCGAAATATCAATACGGTTCTGTAGAAGGTCCGAAATGACGTTTTTCGTGTACAAAATAGCACCCGGCACGTCGCGGTTAATGAGGATCTTGCGCAATACTGACTCCACCATTCGCCGTACCAGCAAGCAGTTGTCACGACGCACGGTCTCAAGACCTTTCGAATCCAGCTTGTCGTATTTCTCTGGGTTTGTCCAGAGCAAACCGGCGTATCGCTTTTTATTCATAAGCAAGTACGGGAAATATACTTTCTCAAATTCAAGCTTGATTGGGTTTGGAAAAATTAGCGACACGCGCTTGGCAGCCTCTTCGGCCAGCGGCATGGCTTCTTCTATGGTGTCAACGCCAAATTTGATCATTACGGAATCCGTATCACCGTATATCACATCTGCGTCCGCCTTGTACCCATTCGCAATTGTGTACACGCGTTCAACCTCCTCACGCGTACGAAACAGCAACTGGCGACCATACGCTGTTGTACTCGAAGCAATGGGAATACACGGCAATTGCCCGACAATGGCGCCCGTAAAGCCATACACAGAATTTGCACTCACCTTAAGAGCAAGCTGTCTACCATTTTGCACTGCCTTCTCCATCGGATCAGTGGCAGCATTCATATCTCGCTTCGCCTGCTTTCGTGCTGCCAGCACTTCCTCCAAAATCAGCGGCAGAATACCCTTTTTCATCTTGCTTGTCACAAAAATGTCGCCTGATGGAGATTTCTGGTAGGCACCCGGAGCCAACTTGTCCGCATCTCCAGGCGCAACTAGTGTAGAGTAGCAAAGATTATACGCCTGCATGATCGACGGATACAGTGACGCAAAATCCAACGTCGCGATGGGTACCGAGTAGAATGCCTTCTTAGGCTCAATCACCGTGGCACCTTCGTAGCCTGCATCATCGTTGATCTGAGACCGAGGAAGTGTCGGCACAACAAGTGATGCGTCCTTGCACTTGCGCAAAAGCATGGAAAAGACCTTGATCTGCTGGCCGCGTTCAATCAGGAAGTCAATTGGAACGCCCGATACACGCGCCATTTCAATATAATTGACAAGGTACGAGAGTTTGTCCAGTAAACGCAGCGGTAAATAGGCATCTTTCAAACAATAGACAGCGAGACGGTGACGATCATCATCCGATCCTCTTTGCAGATCACTGATGATTCCATGGGGCACGTCTTCCTTCTGTTGACCCAAGAAGGCAGCACTTACTGCATTCAGAGAGTATGAACTCAACTGTTGGCTGCGGCGCATGATCGGCAGTACATCGAACATGCATCGTCCGTGGATAGACGTTTTTACGTTTTCACTCTTGCCATATTGCGCAGAGTTAAACATCTTTTTCTCCATGTGAGCCGGTCTGTAAACAGTCAGCTGTCAATGTCGTCTCATATCAATAAAGCAATAGCAGGATGGCACAATACGTACGTGTGCGCTAATCTGCCCAGGAGGTTGTAGTCCTGCAGCTTGAGCGCCTTGCCACGGTTGAGCACGTACGGAATATCAAAATTGGCGATATTGTACCCCGTGATAATGTCGGGGTCCACTTCCTGTACGAAGCGTGCCCACTTCTCAAGCATGTCTCCTTCCTTTTTAAACTCCATGACATGAGCACCCACAATCGGTTTGCACGTGTCCAAAACAAAAACGTTGCGAATAATGGGGGTATGGGATCCCTGCTCCTGCACGACATTGGCAATTTGAATCACTGGGTCCTGATCTGCTTCTGGGAAATGGCCTTTTCTACCCATGCACTCAATGTCAAAGCTCAAAATCCTGAAAGGAGCCACTTTGCTCCACTTTCCTTCTGGGGCGTGGCTTACCAAGTTATCGTACGTGATGTCGATCTCCAGCTGACATAATGACTTTTTCTGGGCAGCAGAGCGAACCGAGTACGTTCCGTGCGGTGCCTCCACCCAGTTGCATCCCCTAATATTCTCGTCGATCATGAAACGTAGAATAAAGGGCACATTGCTCTCGTACATTGGATAGCTACGGAAGTCGCAGCCAGGGAGCGTGAGACCTGCTTCCAGAGCACTACGGAGCTTTGGAACGTAGCTAGGCATACTCAAAAAGATCTTGAAAAGCGTCGTGGTTCTATCAAACTGGTAGCCATAGATGGACATCTTGTCCCGCACCACTTGCACCCCCACGACGCGTGCATTGCTACTGCTGTCTCGATCTCGCTGACTCACGGCAGCATCCAGTGCCTGCCTCACATCTCCACAGCGATTTTCATCGAAGTCATCCGGACAGACGCAGTAGAAATAAGGCAGCACACCATGGACGTGCATGAGCACACTGTGGCCTTCCATAGTGACACCAAAGAGACGGATAATAGCCGCGTTCTGACTTGTGTCTTCACTGGCCTTAAGCCCAGGCACCTCTGCTCCTTTCTTTGGATTCGTCTTTAGTGGTGGACCATCGTACATGTCGATATCAATCCACTGAAAAGCTACCGAGTCGGTGCTCGGGTCGAGAGGTCCCAGGGGCTTGCGCAGCCACGAAGTGGCCTTTGTGGAGATAGGTGCCATCTTCTCCAGATCATCTACGAATGTCGAGACCTCAGCCTTAACACCACGCACATTCAGGCGGGGCTTCTTGGGCTCAGTGGAGCTGGACGCTGTGGCTAGCGACTCGCGCTTCAGACCTGCCATTACTAATTGCGAGCTATGGGATTTCCCGCCAAATTTGTTAAATATAGTGTGGTGGACATTGGTTTCCAGACCAGTCCAAAATGATTGTATTAAATCAAAAGAAAGATAATGAGTGTGCCCAATTAAACTGGTCCAAAACACTCGGATGATAGACGAAGAGTTGCCGCATTACCACGTCTCGGACGCCCTTGATCACGATCTGGCGGCGCTTCTCACTTCTGACCACGTCCAGTACGTCCATTCCCGCTGCGGCCTATTCTCGCGCGCCTTCTTCCCGCTCTCAGACACTGAAATTCTCGCGCTTAAAGCCAATGGCAACTCCGGTACAGTAACTATTTCTCTTACTGGTTCAGATGTCAGAGTGTATGTCAATCTGATTCCAAACTTCAACTTCAACTTCAACTTCAGCTCATGACTGGCATACTGTACGCAAGATAAACAAGAACATCTCGCTACAAACGTCCCGCATCCACCAGTGCGCATTCCATGGGAAAGTAGTGCTCGGGAGCTTTTCCCCTACCTTTTACCACGATGTGGACGGGATTCCTTTCCCCTGCGGAGTCTATAATTCCGCCCTGAGCAACGTCGTCGTACTAGACAATGCCCTAATAAAGGACACACTCGTGCTTAAGAACGTTCTCGTGGACAATGAAGCGTCCATTATCAAATGCGGCAGCGTCACTGGTCCAGACAAAGGGGACACGTTTGCTAATGGTATCGTGCTACATGTGGGTGTAGAAACAGGCGGTCGTGATCTCCGCATCGTGGCTGATTTGCCTTTTACTCTGGGGGCTGCAGTTACTATGAGAAGGCACGATGCAGAGTTAATAAAGACATACGAGGCCTTTGTGGACGAGTATGTGGCAAGGATTCAATCCCCTATGGCGATTGTAGCGTCGAATGCTCGTGTACGTGCGTGTTTTCGTGTTCAAGGGACTTTTGTGGGAAAATACGCAGTTGTAGAAGACTGTAATGTGATTAATTCGACAATCTTATCGACTATGGAAGAACCATCGGTTATTCGAGTTAAAAGCATCGTCCGTGATTCGATTGTGCAGTGGAATTCGACCGTAGAGACGTTAAGTGTAGTGGATAGAGCTTTCTTATGTGATACATCACATGTGGAACGTCATGGAATGGTCATGAGTTCGATAATTGGACCGAATACGTCCATTGCTGAAGGTGAAGTGACGTCCTGTTTTGTGGGGCCTTTTGTAGGCTTTCACCATCAGGCACTTTTGATTGCCTCCATCTGGCCAAAGGGCAAAGGGAACATTGGTTCGGGAGCTAATGTTGGTAGCAATCATACTCTAAAAGCTCCAGACCAAGAGCTTTTCCATGGCGAAGGAGTGTTCTTTGGGCTGGGGTGCAACGTGAAATTCCCCAGCAATTTTGTGAAGGCGCCGTATTCCGTCATTGCTACTGCGGTCAACACACTACCACAGGTGGTAGCAATGCCTTTCGCGTTAATTAACACGCCAGGTCACATTATCCCATCGCTTTCTCCGGCTATCAATGAAATCTCACCAGGGTACGTTTCGCAAGCGTTTATAAGTGTAGTGATCCATGATCAGACGAATGTCTTGTTTGCTCTTTATCGAATAGGTGGGTGCTTTCTAGGAGTGTATTCACTGTACTCCGAAATGAGTACAAATTCCGCTCGCGCAACAAATCAAAGCGCACACACATCGAGGTCAATATTTTCCGTCCGGAAGTTGTACAATACATGAAAGGTGGGCAAGATTGCATTTATTATTGTGGGATCAGCGCAGCAGCTAATGCAATTTAATATTTGTTTAATCAGATGCCCGTGCGGAACTTGCTGCTGCAGAAGGCAAAGCGGAACTAAGGCTTGCGAACGGAGAGGCTGTGTACACTGATAAACAAGCTCGAGGATTAGGCAAGAATTATATGCGTGAGGCATCTCGCCTAGCGGGTATTGCTGCATACACATTCTTCATAAAGCTTTACGCTCTCGAGGCGCTGTTAGACCTTGCTGAAAGCGGCTGTGTGTGTGCTGACGGATCCATAGCATCAGTGGGCAGGTACTACAAAAACTCGTTCACGTTGGCTTCTGGTGATGTCATTGCTTTGTGTTCTGATCAAATGCTGTAGTTCGCGATATGAAGTAGTGACGCTGGCGGAGGAATTTGACCGTAATCAACTCATACGTGACTGTCTTAATGATCTCGTCTCGATGAAGGCTGAGGTAGCTAATATGGCTGCTGATGGTAAGACGCGCGACAATGTTCGCGGCGAGCGAATCATTCCAGATTACCTCGATGTGCACATGCCGGCAGCGAGCGAGCCTGTGGTTCTTCAAGCTCAGTGGTTAGACCACTTGTATACTGTGTTTGTTTGTTGTGTCATGCATTCGTCTGACGTCCGAAATGCGCTTCGTTTTTCATCTGACAGGGCTGCAAACGACATCAAGCAGCGAGTGGCTGCGTTTGTAGCGCGTGTATGAGTTCGTTTGCATGTGCTACTATGCAAATAAACAGAAAACGCCTAGCTGTGGCGAGATGGAGAATAACTGCTCATGCGAGATGCTGTCCTGCATTTACCGATGCTTCGCCAGATGAGCAAGTGATACAGTGGGGTGCGTTGGCGGTTGGATGCCGACGTAAGTAGGCATAGCTGGCAGGAAGACGACTTGAGGCCAAACACGAGAGAAGGTCAGTACTCTCACTGATCTTCTCTCGTGTTTGGTGTTAATCGTCATGATGTTTCCACATTGATGTTAAATCGAAGCTGTGCCGGTCGACAGTGTTTAATGAATATAGTCGTTTAAAAGCATAGGTTTGGGCAAGTTGCTCCTTCCAAATGTCTTACTACTCTTGCCGCTCGTAACTTGCCAGCTATTGGGTAACTCTGACACTCAGACATGAACAGTTGTAGCCCTTTGGGAACGCGACGCACGCAATACTTGTTGGTGCCCAATTGACATATGCTCTCGATGTCTCAAGGATCGCAGAACTTAAAGAGACGTGAGATCATAAAGCCTCCATTATTTGTTGACCAGACCTCGCGGATGACGACGTGTAGCCGAGCGGCTTGCACACAGCACTTTTACAAGTTCTATTCCGTGACTCCTGCATGCTCGAACCGCGGACCGAATTCATTTAGTAGATGCTGAAACTGGGTCAATAATGCAGTTTCTGCTGTGTCCAGAAGGAACGCTCTGTGTCAGCAGAGGGTGCAGAAGAAATATTCCTCTAAAACATTCAGCACTGATCTGCACCGCTCGTACACCCACTTCATCCCTAAGATCTGGATCTCAGCTGGTGCTTGCACCTATACTGACTGACATATTGGATCAACTACTGCTTCTTTCGTTCGTTCAAGAGGATACATCAGCGATGTCGGAGACGTAACATGCTCGGCATGCCAACAAACACTTTTAGCCTGAAAGTCGGTCGTACATGTTTTACCTACGAAAGCATCACACTATTGCGCACCTGAAGCTTCACTTTGCTTCCAGTGTGCAAGTTCGTGAGTATTGAAGGCTGAACCTTTCGATTCCGTGGCGACAACAAGCCTTCATGTAGGCGATAAAGACTGAATCCACAAACAACTTGGCAAAATCTTTGTCGACACAATGACACTACGGCAGACACTCCTTCACAAACAAAAGATACATGCACAAACACAAGTGATGACCGTATCAATTACTTCTTCTTCTTAATAAGATAGCAAAAACCATTCTTGTCGACTAGATGCACAATAATTTAAGTCCGTCTTCCACCAATAGCTCACTTAGCCTTAGGACTATTGGTATAGCTGCGTCGTGACGACAGCCGCCGTTCCACACGGAAATCTCCAATCCAATAACCATTCACACGTAATGCGTCCTCCACTTTGTCTGGACTAGGTCCCGTATCCGTATCCTGCTTGGATGCAAACGTTGCACGTCTTGATCGCTCATTCTGCTGTGACTTATTGGTCATACCCGTGTCCGCCCGACGTCTCGGCACTCGGCGTTTATGCTGCTTTCCGATGGAATAACTGCTCATGCAAGTATTCAATCTACTAGATCGACCATCATCAACTGTCGACGACGACCGCGGACGTGTCGTCTGTTGCCACTGCTCTTCTCCATTTGTGGTGTAACAACACGCCCTCACATCCATCAAACTCATACTGTGTCTAGCACACGGGGTGTTCGTTGGTGTCGTCTTGGTATCACTGGCTTCTTCTTTTCCTACAATAACCTCACTATCATCTTCTTCTGATTCTGTCTCAGAAGGTGGTGCCGTCGTCACCTTTTTTTGACGACTCGACAGTACCTCCGAGCATGTCACTGGTACCTCCTCCTGTATCTTGTCTTCTTCCTTGTATGTTTCTCCTTCTGATTGTTGTGCTGCCTTTACATCCATCGAAGGTACACGAGAGCAGGAATAAAAGCCCTTGGCGTACCGTTGTCGTCGTGCGTTGACGAGCCAAAATGTAAGCGCCAGTGCGCCGATCGTCAGCGTGTACCGCAATGTCACGAGCTGCACAAGCAACATCAAGAGACGTACACACGCTGCTATCGTGATCAGCAATAGCGCAACGACGCCCACTCCTGCTACAACCATAGCTCCTCGACCCATTTTACCACTTGAGGGTAAATAGTGAAATGACCAAGACATAGACCCCCAAAAGTGAGGGCAGGAGAGATGAGGATGGGCGACATCGTGCACCGGCTTGGTTTTTGTCCAAAAAAAGAGCTGCACTTGCTATGACAGTTGACCCGTTTGCGCACTGTATATGACCAGGGGGTACAGCAGCGGTACGGTCTAATAGCGATGAGGGTTTTTAGCGGGTGTGGTTGGAAAAAACGGACCTATTGGGTCAAACCCGTGTGGCTTGATTTTATACGCCCACAAGTTGCAGAGACTCGACAGCCCAATCTCAAGTGACTAAAAACGAAGGAAATTGATATAAACCCTTACAAAGTGAGGCCAAAGTATCTAGCTGAGAACGAGCGAGCCGTTGGTTGCGAGACATTTTTTTTTTTTTGAAAAAGGACACGACCAGCAGCAGACGACAGCTAGAGCAGAGCGTCCACTCAAAAGTTTGTAGTAAAATTGTGGTCGTGACGGCCGGAGCCACTTTTGTAGGGCTCTCCAAGTAACAGCCGAACTGGAAACGGGAATCGCCAGCTGCAACTCTACCCTAACTGTCAACTCGATGGTAGTAGCGAAGCCAATGGTCAGTGGCAGTGGTAATCTTTGCTTTACTAATGGTGGTAGTACCCTAAAAATGAGTGTGATAGTTAGAGTACCTTGATGGTGATAGTTAGAGTACTTATAGTGAAAGTTAGAGTACCCTAATGGTGATACGTATAGTAGTACCTCAGTTACCTTCGAGTTGGCGATCTATCCATCGAATCTTGAGCCGTCATTCTGTCGCATGTTATAGTGATCCTGCGATACAAGCGTGCAAATTGAAAATATCATCTACGAACAAACAGCAAAAGATGGTAATTGTACCCACCAGCAACATTGATGATTATCAGACTGTTTATTAAATCCTTATGATTGGTAAAGATATGTCAGTGAAGAAAATTCTCTGATCTTTTGCCATGACTACGTCGTTCTTCTATGCACTAGCTCATTTTGTTGGCTCAACCTGTGAAGCTTCATCGGGGATACTTCAATAGGGCACGTAAAACCATTTGATCAAACCCGAGCACTGAAAATATAGTGAAATTTATTTTACTACACTCGAGCACATGCAGGGGACAGGTAACGCCATGAAAGGGAGGCAGGGTATCATTCCAGACAGGCCAGATCCAGACGGGTCAGCCTCGGAACGGACGGAATCACGTTCTAGAAGAGTTTGGGTCGACGACTAGGAGGTGGAAAAACGGAGATGGGCAAAAATTTGGTGATGCCTGGATGGAGGGTATTCCATGCTTTGTCGTCGTGGCGATTGCTTCCCGTCAGGTTTGCACGCTGCACTGCCTCCCATGATCTACGCAGTGGAGAGAAGCCCCCCCCCCTCCCTTTAACCAAGTACGAGACGGTGATGAACGACGGTTTATGTGGTTCAAGTAGTCGATTGCAACTGGCTACAGTATATGTGTCATCAACGCGTGTATCCGGAGCGAGCTGCAACGCGTACTGCGACAGAAACACGTGAAACTCCACTGTCGTCAGTATGAGTTGCATTTTGTTATTGTAATGCCGCGTATGATAGTAAGCGAGATATGGACATGATGGGGGACTCATTGCAAGAATGAAGCAGGTTACGCTTTGTTGCATGCGCTTCAGACTCCAGGTGTGATTCCAACTTTTCTCATTCGCTGAACAGTTAGTGATATTTGTACTCTCTGCCAGCGCCTGATCGCCGTTTACATTTGCAGAAAGCGGAAGCACTAGCACCAGTACCATTAAACCAATGTGAAAAGGCATCGGGGGCCTAGTGGCGTTGTGTGTCTTTGACGCGGACAAGAGGTATGGCGAATGCTCTTTACGGCACTGGACCGCCATGCTATACGGAAGAAAGGTTACATTCATTTGTGTTACACTAGATTTTGTCTCTCTTTATACGATACGAACATTCCTAAGGAACAAAAATGTGCTCATGGAAGAGCGGCTTGGTTTTTTAGTATACCGACGAGATGGCTACAGGAACTGGTCTCCAACCGTTGGCTACATTTTTAGACCCTGAAACGACGCGATCCAAAATCTGGGACGTGTGAGAGTCGCAAAGTACAGTTTTGTCCTGCGTAGCACAAGAAGATTAAATATCACCACGTGTTTCAACAGGTAGTGCATTGCTGTATTCGTCTTAAGCTTGTAGAATAGGTCTATCATTGCTATCAAACAACATCAAAGTAGATTCGATTTTCCGGTCTCTTGTGGCCGATCAGCTTGAAGCGTGTGCGAGTAGATAGATAGAGATAGCTTGGCAATTTGCTACTTGTACTAAAATTCAACAAAGCTCGAACCAACAAGTTCGTTCCTGCGGCAGTATGAAATCTGAACGACAGTTCACATCAACAATCATGCAACAACATTTGGATAATGGTTACAGTCATGATGGAAGTTCATGTGACAGGTCCGATTGGCGCCGAGAAGAACACGGACGGTTTATGCAGGCGCTGGAACTTTATGGTTCGAGACAGACTGGAGACGAATGGAAACACATCACGGACTTTGTCGGCTCACGCAGTATGGAGGAAGTGCGTCTACATGGACGGCAGTATCTCCAGCGACTAGTTCAACAATTGCCACCATCCCCTATGGTAGCACCTTCAAATGGCTACTTGCTCCATGCAAACAGTCAGAACGACTCAAACAGACAGAAGTACCAGGTACAACAGGGTATTGACTTGCACAAATCGAGAGACGACAAAGGAAAGAGAGTTGTTCCTCAGCCGGAAGCTCTTGTCAGTGCTGGTAGTGCTCTGAGTGCCGCAGCGGCTGATTGTGCATTATCGATGAATGTCTTAGCACCCGTACGATTCCGCAGTCAGCCACGTCAGCTTTTACAGCAAGAAAACCAGACAGTGATTGCTGCTCCGCAACGGAACGGACGGTGGTCTAACACCTGGACATTCCAAGAAGAAAAAGCTTTTGAAACAGCACTGGTAGGTTGGGCTGGAAGCAAGTCGTACCCTTGGACCCAAATTGCTGCGGCTGTACCTGGTAGGACCGCCAAAGAGGTGTGTAACCGCTTCGATGAGATGGTGGGAGAAATTGCCTCCATTGAGGCTGGTGAGATACCTGACCTTGAAAGCTCGACTTCGAGTAGTATTCCGAATAACTCTGTGGCTGTGCGACAACAGGGACGTAGCTCGTTGAGTCGGCGTGCAGTTCCACCACCACCTATTGAGATTCTGCGACTAGATGGTGCAGCGGGGGTCTTCCTCTCAGGCACAAGCACACGAAGCAGTAGAGGTTCTGTAAGCGGGATTCCTATGCTCAGTCCGACATTCCTCGACATGTTGGCGAAAGAAGCCGAGAGCGAAGAAAAGTCGTCGCTGCCAGCATTACCGCTACAGTTTCCAGAACTAACCAGCTTGCCATCCCCAATTTTTTCGTCGACATTGCTACCAGCAGTGTCACCTACTTCTTTTTTCAGTCCTGGCGAGAACAAGTCGGCTGCACGGGGCAAAAAGCTTTCGAATACAGACAGCTCTGATGATATCAAGATGGAAGATATGGATGCATCGACAACCGTGACAAGAGAGAGCGAAGATCCACGGCGCTCTTCAACACCGCGAATAATGAACGACTTTCTTGCCGGTGATTTCAAATTCGACGATCCGCTTGGCACAACACCCATTCATAGAAGAAAGTCACCGCGCTTTATGAAGTCGACAATTTTTTTGGAGCAGGAATCCTTGACCATCAAGGCTGAAAGTGGAGCAAACAAGCAAGACATTGAAATGACCGATGCCTCAGCCGCCTGAAGCCAAAGAACAAGTAGGTAAGACAATTGAGTCTTGAGTCTAATGCTATTAGACTTGTTTCCAGCACGTGATGTACTCCCAACTGGATTCTATGCTTGCTATCGGTACTTACAACCTGCTGCTATCTCTCTTCCGTTCTACTACTCACTCTCACTTGCCTCCGACTATCTACTAAATCTGCTATTTGTCTACTACTACTACTCCTACTACCGCGACCGACCAGCCGCTTTCCTACTAGTTTCTACCATTGCGTTAGCTTCTTCTCCAAAGCCCTTGCGTGTTTGTGACTACCCCGTCTTCTGCTTCATCACTTGGTCTCCTCTTTCACATCGCAAAAACACACACGACAGCATCAACTGCTGCACCTCGCGCTCTCTACACGTTAAAGCGCGTGGTGAGGAATTGTTGCAGAGGCTCAGGAAAGCTCGCAAAGTACGTCGTCCAGTTCTCGCCGAGGCTCGTCTTAAAGCCGTGCACAATCTGGTACAGCATTTCCTTCAACTCTGGGTGCTGTATCGGCTGACCCTCTAGCGAAGCAATGGCACCGCACATGAACATGAAGTCAGCGATGATACCGTTCGGGTTCGCCTTCACCATGTAGCACAGACCCAGGAAGCAATGCTCCTTCTCTTCCAGTGCCCTTACATGCGCGAGAGCACGGCACCATTGCTTGGCAAACTCCTGCAGATGCGGCGCCACCACATTTGGGCACACGTATCCGAGTCGGCCAATAGTAATCGCGCAATTCTCCACCAGGTTACGCGGCAATTTCGGGCGATTGACCATGCCAATTAAGCGACCCAAGCAATTCTCGACAAACGGTTCTATCTCAGCACCAATACGGATGGCAATCTCGCCTACTGACCAGCTTGCATTGTTGCACACAGTAGGCAAGTCTGCGTCAATGTTATCAATCAACACCGGCAGCAGATCGCCAAGACCGGGGCGGAGCATGTTCGACGCGTGTTTAGCCAGGTCACCCACAACACCCATGGCGCTTTGGCGCACATCCATCACATCGTGGCGCACGCAGCTCCTGAGCAAGTTCAGGATGTTTGATCCACTCAGCAGTGCTTCACTGTTGTGCTGCAGACCCTCAATCATACCCGAGATCAAGTCCAAAGCGCACACGATCAGCTCCGGATCACCCTCGTCAAACTCGTCAGGGTTCTGCTCCGACATAGCGTCAGCCAGCAGCTCGTTTTCCACGATGCGCTGACAACGAACGTACACGTTCATCGCAAACTCTTGAAAGCCGTTACCCAGTGCCTGGGCCACAGGCGCCAGACACTCAAACAACGGCAGAATCTCGCGGCTACGGTCGTCTAGGCTGTTCCACTTCGCAATAAGTGGAGGCATAAGGATCTTGATCAGCTCAGGGTGGTTCAAGTGCTCGCCGGTCGAGTCTGCGAGCGTTCCAATGGCATCATACAAAATAAGCAGGTTCTTCGCCTGGTACTTGCCAAAGGCATACATGAGGTTCTGTAGAATAGGCGTAAGGTATGGCACCAGCTCCTCACAAGCTTCTTCCTCCAGGGTGCAGAACGCAGAGCATGCTGCTTCTTGCACTTTCTTGTGCGGGTCCAAAATGCGCTTCAGCATGCCTTCCACAAGCGGTTTGAAAAGCGCCTCGTGGTTGCCTTGCTCCACGACCCACGTCACATAACGGCTTAGTGTCCAACAAGTGATACTACGGATGAGTGGTGCCGGGTCCTCCAACTTTTGTAGCAGAAACGGGTACAACTGGGGAAGGTGAGGCGTGATTCCATTGTAACAACCGTCTGCGATGGCACCAAGCGCTAATATACCGCTTTCCACGAGCGGCCACGACTGTTCTTGCGCAAGACGTTCCTGCAGCAGCGGCAGTAACGTCGGAAGGATGTCGTTACCGTAGCCGTTCGCAAGATTGTCGAGGCTAGCAGCCGAGCAGCGACGTAGATTCCATTCCAGCAGCGTGTCATCATCATCATCATCATCGTAGTCCTCGTCGTCGTCATCGTTATCGAGTCTGCCACCCTCAAGGCCACCGCCAGCCTTGCGGTGGAAAATAGGCTTAATGTCCTCCGGTCGGTCAGGCACATTTTCGTCCTGGCTCTGCTCCTCACTCTCGAAATTGGCCAAGTCCTCGTCGCTGTACACCATGCGCTGGAACAGCAGCGGCACGATCTGTGTTAAGTACGGCTGCAGCATGGGTTTAATCTCATTGAACTCGCGCAGGTCGCAAAAGGACGCCCAAAACTCACAAGCTTCGATGGCCACATTCTCATCCTCGTCTTGGTTGGCACGTAGAATGAACTGGATGATGCTGTCTAGGTGCGGCACAAGATACTGCACACCCACCTCAAGTAAGATGACGATACTCTTGCACACAAGTTTCCGCACGTCATTGGATGGGTCCTGTGTAAGCAGTGAAATACCAGCCAGGAAATTTTCCATCTGCACGACCAGCCCCATCGGCATGTAGATGAGTACATTGTTAAGGCACTCGAGTGCATCACGGCGAAAATTTGCGTTCTGATGGTGAAAATACTGCAGTAGCTTCGGCACCAGTGCATTGAGTGGTCGACTGGGTGAATTCTCAAGCTTCGAAGCCGAGTCTTCACAGATTTTGACAAGTGCACCAAAAGCTCCAGCGACGGCGTTTTCATCCTGCTGTTCCAATAAAACAAGTAGTTCCGGCATAAGCTCAGGCCACTCGTCCAAGAATGTAAATTGGGACACAAATGTCGTAACGAGAGATCCAGCCGTGTTCCGAATGGGTGGCAATGGATCCATTAAGACCCGCAGTGTCTGATGTCGGATAACAGCGAGAATTTCTGCTTCATTGGGTGTCAGCACGGCACTGGCATCACGAGCTTTTATGTTCCGTTTGAGCAATAGTCCAGCCAATTGACGAACATTGGGTTCCGTCTGCGTAGAGCAGAGCAAATGGACGAGATAGAGATTAAACTCGAGATTCTTTTGAAATTGCTGGAGACGTTGATAGGAATCCCGTTGGACCTGATTATTGGGTACCATATAGGCTTGTAATAGAGCAATCACTTCATTAAGTAACAAAGGCTGTGGCTGCCACGTGTCGTTCATACTTGAGTGAGTCTTGAAGGGGTTCTTGAGGAGGTGTTTTTCAACGCTTGGAAGCTGCTACTTGTGATAATTTACGGTCGTTTTTAGACAGGTAATGAATAGATAGATATACAGTGGTAATACAGACGATGAAAAGACGCTGGAGAGGGAAAAAGATGGAAGAAAGACGAGATTCAGAGATGCTAATGGGGATAAGAGAGGGTCTGGAGAGGAACTGGACGAGAACGCTGGATGGGTAGAGGTCACTCTTGTGAAAGTGTGACAGGTTGGCATACATTGGATGGAAAGGTGAGTGTTTATTTTGAACCAATCATTGTATCGTATTGTAACGCTGTACGGAATGATTGCGTAAATCGATCATCATTCCGCCGACATGCTATGGAAAAAGTCGCTAAGTTCGCATCAAATGCAATTCTTTGAATCGTTCTACTACCGCGGTTAGGGAAGCCTAAATAAGGCAGTCTCACACTATCTTTAGTCCTTTAATAGTGTGCCAACGTTACACGTTCTTTTTGTCTGATTAATTGTAAAATTCTGTATCCCTACTATAATACAAAAGAGAGCCAATATATTCCTAATACGAGATTTAAGCTTATGTATTCCATATTAGAATACATATAAAAACGGACATAGTCGAAAACCCTACCTCCAATAACAAATAATCTTACAATATCCAGCTACAACATTAAAAAAAACACACACACACACACAAGCATGACCACGAATATTCCAACGAATGCCAATGAATCATGTGTGGGTCCACAATCTGACGAAGCCGGTAAAGCCACTGGATGTGCTGGTTGTCCGAATCAAAGTGTCTGTTCATCAGGTGCTGGTCGTGTATTTGATCCTGCAATTTCCCATGTAAAACAACGATTGGCGGGTATAAAACATAAACTTTTAGTCTTATCGGGAAAAGGAGGGGTGGGTAAAAGTACCATCGCTTGTCAATTGGCATTTGCATTGGCTGGAAAAGGGTATCAAGTGGGACTATTAGATGTGGACATAACAGGGCCAAGTGTCCCACGAATGCTGGGGTTAATAGGTCAAGAAGTCCATCAGAGTGCAGCTGGATGGTCGCCTGTTTATGTCGAAGAGAATCTCGGGGTTATGTCGATTGGATTCATGTTGCCTCATGCGGATGACGCAATCATTTGGCGTGGACCAAAGAAAAGTGGCATTATCAAGCAATTTCTCGTGGATGTTCAATGGGGTGACCTTGATTACCTCATCATTGATACACCACCGGGTACATCGGATGAACATATCAGTCTTGTTCAGTACATGAAAGAGGCAGATTTAGATGGAGCTGTGGTTGTTACGACTCCACAAGAAGTGGCACTTAGTGACGTGCGAAAGGAACTGAATTTCTGTCAAAAGACCAAGATTCATGTCCTTGGAGTTGTGGAAAACATGAGTGGCATCCAACGGTCACTTCAAGATGTTCAGTTTCTAAATGGTGCTGGGAAGAACGAGACGGAGACTTTTATCAAGGTGAGGTTATGAATGCTGTTGGGTTTTTTTTCTCAATGTCGTTGATGTCTGTCTGTCAATGTCTTCATTACTTATTGTTTACGTTTTTCTACTTTTAAGCTATTGCAAGAGAAGGCGCCAGAGTTATTGCAGTATTCAGTACAGATGGAAGTCTTTCCTGTTTCAAATGGTGGTGGTGAAGCAATGACTAAGAAATTCAATGTTCCTTTTCTTGGACGTTTGCCATTGGATAACAAGATGACGGGTGCGTGTGAAGAGGGCGTGTCGTTTCTAGACGAGTACCCGGATGCCGTCGCAGCCCCGGCCTTTAGCAAAATTGTGCAAGGTAAACATGTACATCTCTTATGGTGTTGATTTGATGAGAGTGGTGGCTAACCTGTTTACTCTGTTTGTCTTGTAGATATCATTGCGTCCGTCGAAAAATAGAAAACATTTTTTACTTGAGAGGTTTTGTCGAACTGGCACGATGAACCTCGGATTGAAAACATGGAAAGGAACATAAGCACATTTGAGCCACTTTGTTTGCACGACGTTCGGGCATTTCTTTTACTTGTTTAATGATTGCACATAGACGCCCTTGCAAAATACGATTTAGCCCCGTGCTGCTGGTTTCGAGTAAGGCAAATCACTGCCTTGAGAATGGATCTATGGAGTTGGGCGCTTGTTCCGTGTTGAGTAGTACAATAACAACGGACACATTGTCGGACGAGCCGGATCGAATTGCCAAGTTTGCCAGCGACTGGCTTGCTTGCTGCAGAACACGACCATCAGAGAGAAAACCAACTCAGAAACTTGTATCCAGCTCAACAGCATTAACTCACTACAAAACGTACTGTTGCCGAATAACCTTCATTCAACCTGTCGGCGACAAACTTCACAGCCTCCTTGCTCCTAATTGTGTCCCACAGCCCGTCACACGCGAGGATGAGGAAATCAAATTCAGGTGTGATCTCGATTTCCTGTGCCATGAGTGTATTGTAAACAGACTATCAGTTTGTTTCCGGTAAGTTATCAGAGTCAATCTATCGTTCATCATACCTGACACTCTGGAACCGATATGACCAAATCACCATGAAACGCGCGGTCATGTCCCTCAGGAAACGCCCAGTATTCGTATTTCGATAATGCCTTACCCTTATAGTCACAGTCGCCAATGGCGCGAGAGACAGCCAGCTCACCATTCACTCGGTAGATAGTTACCCATTTCACTACCCGTTCAGCTTTCTGCTGGATTTCTGGGTCACTCAAATCCATTGAGTGCAGTTTGGACAACTGTAGCTCACGCTCCTCATTCACCCAGCCTCCTTGATTTTCGATCCTCTTTCGCTCATCTGCACGTCCAGGTGTCTGTTCTTCAATAATATCCAGTGCCTGACCTCTAATGCTCACAACCGCTCTGCTGTCTCCTATATTCGCAGTAATCAACCGATTTCCTCGAATCAACACGACCGCTGCTGTAGTGCCATCATCCAGACTCTATCATAGTTGTCAAATCCAGGAGATTAGCATTTGTCAAAAACAACTGCGTCTTTTTTCACGTTACTCATCCAGGGGCGCTGCGTACCTCCTCCTCGGCCTTTTGTAAAAACTCCTTGTCAATTCGCGCAAAGCATTCCTCAAAGGCCAGACGTGTGTCAGCCATAAAGGACTCATGTGAAGTCAAATAAGGCACTAGTCGTTGGTTAGAAAATGTCGCAGCCTGTCAACAAGCAAACAATGTACGATAAGTAAACACGGACGAGAAAATGAGTGTGTATCAACGTACCCTAACGCCACTGTGGCCATCAAACAAAGCGTAAAACGATTGCTTTTGCTGATGACGTTGGTCGTATTTCAATTGCGCGTTGAGGTCTGGGATGCAACAACAAACATCCTCCATTGCTGACCGTACCCCTAGCAGCGATGTCACTCCATGAACATCATCGCCAGCAGAATAGCTCGAGCTGTCTTCGTTGAAAGTTTCATGAAAAGAGTCTCGAGAGTTGATGGAAAATGATTCGATGGGCTGCATCTCAGCAAATCCTTCTCTTTGGTGGCGAGGCACCCAACGACTAGCAGTTGGAACGTGTATCGGCTCCGGCGGGGGAGACAAATCGACAGGCATAGATGGTGGTGCAATCGGCTCTGCAACACTGCGATTTCGAAGATATCTAGGAATGTACTTGCCTGATGCAACCGGCGATGAAGATGTTGGCACCACCGGCGGCGGTTCCGTAGTTCTATCGGTAACTTTACTCTCTCCATCTTCCTGTCGGCCACCTAAATGCAGGAGTGCACCGTGATCGGTGCTCTCCTCTTTCGATTCAACAAATGAGCTTCGCCCCATCAGGGAAGTGTGGTGCTCGGGTACGTCATCCATCGGATCCAAAGCAAACATCAGTGGACTCCGCGGTCCAAATCCACCAAATGCTAACGGACTAGTGCACTGCCGGGGGCTAGTTCGTGAAGACGAAGATCCATCGCCACCTGCCGAGTCATCTGAAAAGCTCGTCGACGCATAAAACCCACCACGCGCGCGGCCGCGATACAAATCATCAACGGAGGCTGCAATCGGAAATTGGTCCATGTAGTCTTGGCGGTCGAACGAGACACTGCGATTCACGCGGGGCATGCTCTGCTGTAAAATCACCCACACAATAATACAGACAGATTCATTCAGAATGATTAAATTGCACGTTACTTCCATCAGGGTCCGATAAAGTAGTCGATAAAGAAATGCACGTACTCTTCGAGATAAACTATTGCAAAGCCTGTTCGGCCGACATTCCGCCTGAAAGAATGTAGCCAGAATTATAAGACTTCAAGTACTCTGTTAACATCAAGTTGCATCCAAATAACGTACCTGTGTTCGTGACAAAGCTGACACGATACTCGCAATGGATTTCTGAAAATTAAAGAGCCACTCGTGCATCTACAATCATGAAAAAAAAGTTAGAAACAAATAACATCTTCCTCACTACAAAGCCACAACGTTTCTACCCTGTCTTTTGACTCGGCACGTAAAACATAACGTCGACTTTCCATGCGAATCTGGAAAGCAGCAACGCCAAAGTCTTTCTACAATAGACATGATAGGCAAATTAAAACGTGGACGCAGGCACAAATTAGCAAAAAGAAGACGCAGACAGAAGCAATAGCACCACAAAAGCTGCTTTTTCTTTGACAACAAGAATCAAATTGGCCAAAACATCGTACCGCTGTCGTCACCGAGTCGATATTTTCCATTGAAATGACGCCACAACACGTTTCATCCGTAGATTTCTGCTCTGTTACATCACTCTGGGTCTTGTAGTAAAAAAGTTTACTATCTTGCATGACAAACCATCTTTTTTTCCATAATTTTGCATCTTCCGAGCTCTGTTTTTCTAAATATCCGTCCATAAAGGCAGCTCTGTTGAAAAATAAAACATCCACATGAGCAAAAAAATATCCAAGAAACAAAGAATCGATAATATCCTTCGACCTCGGATTTTCGTGTCACTTACTCCAGATAACGCGTATATCCGTCCATTGTCCGTGGTCGAAAAAAACTTGTGGATGTTATGATATTTCCTGCTACATTTTAAGTGATTTAAAGCCTTTTTTTAGTAAAAATATCCTACGAATTCGATAAAAAATATCGATTTTCACCTGCAAGATCCAGCTCATCGCCATCACATGAAGATGACGATGAAGAAGACGATGAACGACCATTGGCACGGTCAAAAAAGTGCCGTGAAAAGCTTGAGACACGAGCATTCGGTACTGGAATAGTATGACCCGTTTCCTGTCCTAATTGTGGTGTGGGAGCTGTCTCAGCACGTCCACGATGTGCATGTGTAGCTGGAGATGCATGGAATGTCGTCTCAGTCTCGTCGTCATGCCAAGAGGTCGACGGAGGTGCGTCATGATGCAAGAATCTTGGCATTTATCTGGATATTTTGAAATGACCCAATTTAAGAAAAAAAAGATTCAAGTTTTTTTGAATTAGGGATCGCTATTTAATAAAGTCAAATAGATGTCACCCTATTACACTTCGAGGACGTTATTTTTGTAGAGGCACTCTATTTCGAGACTAGAACATGGTTCTTGTACTCGTTCATACTACCACGAAAGCGAGCAACCTTTTCATCACCGACGACCCATAATTCTTCACACACGCTCGTAACAAAGTGTTGATCGTGGGAAACAATTACCACACCGCCCTTGTATTCACGTAATGCATCAATAAGTGCATCGATCGTTTCCATGTCCAAGTGATTGGTAGGTTCATCGAGTACCACAACATGAGGTAGACGCCATGTCATGAGTGCAAAACCAACACGAGACTTTTGGCCACCTGATAGTGTACGTGTGGGTTTGATTGCCAATTCACCCGACAAATTGAAACGTCCAAGATGCGAACGAAATTCGTCTGGTTCGTGGCCTGGAAACATCTCCTTCATGTTCTGGACTGCAGACTTGGACAAATCCAGTGAGTCGACGTGGTGCTGAGTAAACGTAGCTACGCGCAGGCGCGGGTTCAAAGTGACTGAGCCCTCATTCGCACGCAGCTTGCCGATCATGATATTGATGAGCGTTGACTTTCCTGAACCGTTTACACCGAGAATACCAATGCGACTCGACATGTCGATGCCCATATGCACGTCTGCGAAAAGCAAGGGCGACTCTGGCTTATACCGGAAGCCGACACCTTCGACGGCAATGATAGGCCGCCCCAGCGGCTCCGCGGGCGGGAAATGCATTCGGAAAGCGCGCTCATCCTCGGGCTCATCAATCAGCTCATTGCGCAGGATTTTATCCAGTGCCTTGACACGCGATTGCACCAGCGGAGCTTTCTTTGCATTCGCCCGAAAGCGCTCGATGAACTCTTGCATGTGCTGAATCTTCATTTGCTGGGCATCATAGGCTTTGCGCTGCTGACGCAGGTTCTCCTTCATCGTGTTTTCGAATGTATTGTAGTCGCCCTTGTAGTACATGAGCTTCTGCTGCGTCAAGTTGATAATGTCGGTGGTGACGGCGTTCAAAAAGTTTCGATCGTGCGATACCACAATCATCTGCTTGTCGTACTTTTCCAGGTAGTGTTCCAGCCAGATCACCGCTTCAAGATCCAAATGGTTCGTAGGCTCATCCAGTAGCAGCAGGTCAGGTGACATGAACAGAGCGCCCGCTAGCGCCGTCCGCATACGCCATCCACCGGAAAGCGCCTTTGCCGGTCCGTCCATCACGTCGTCGGGAAACTGCAGTCCGCTAAGAATGGTGCGTGCCCTAGACTCGGCCGTGTCTGAGTCAATGTTCGCGAGTCGGTCGTAAATCTCTTTTAGCCTCGTACTGTGGTCCTCCCCCTCATTTGCCTCCTTTGCCGTGAGCTCCTTCTCTTCCTTCAGCAGTAGCGTGCGTTCGTAATCTGCTGCCAGTACCACTTCCAGCACGCTACGCTCTTCCTTACTAAGCTTCGAGGCCGACTCCTGCTCCACCAACTGAATACGAATATGTCTCGGAAATCCTTCGAGCTCGTAGTGTGAAATATACCGAAGCAACGTCGTCTTACCAGCACCGTTCTTGCCCACAAGTCCATACCGACGGCCTGCGACAATCTTGAGCGATGTATCCGACAGTAACGTCTTACCCTTAAAGTTAATAGTAAGACGAGGCACATGAACGTCCTTCTCGCCATTATCCTGGGACAAATCCGGCAAAAAACGAGCGTCTTCCCACTCCCGATCCATCTCAGCCTGTTCCTCGGCTTGTTCGACTGTAAGCTGCTCCAATTTGACCTGTTTACGCACTTGACGGGCCGAAAGTGCCGATTGTTGTGCTTCAAGCTCATCATTTGTCGTCTTGCGAATCTTATCAAAGCCCCACATTCGAGCCAATAGCTGCTCCGCATCATCTGCACCTTTGTCCATCCGTGCTTGTTCCTCAATGGTCTGAGTATTTTCCAAGACACGCACTTCATCTTCATGTGTCACAAGTGTTGATAGAGCTTGTACTTGTGGACTGGCGAGTAATTTAGTCGCCAACGAGCAACATACGCGCGACACTGCCGCTTTATCCGAGACAAAGTGGGTATCCAATAAAAACGGGGTCAAAGTTGTGCATAAAAGAGTTTCGAGAGACGTAGCATCAAGACGTGTCTCATGAGTTAATTGTTCAGCAACAGCACCGCTAATATACTTGAGAATCGTCTCATCTAGACCACGTAAAGTGACGGAGAAGACCTTGGTTACGACTTGTTCCATGTCGCTTTTAGGACCAATGAATTGATCTGAAAGCTGATTGGTCAGTAGTGGGATTTTCTATTTTTGAAATGGCCAATCAGAGTCTTTATTGATATTATGCTGTTCTCGGTGCTTATGCAATGGAGAGCGGTTTGGGTATACTGACATGTACACTTGTAGAGAGATGAAGCGACGTAAGCGACAATCAAGTGTTGTAACAATGCTGGACGTTTATGCAGCGATGCAAGACACTTAGAAGAAACAAAAGGCAATGTCGTAGTTGTGTGGAGCATCGGGGAATGTGAAGCAGACATTAAGAAGATCGCGTGATGTGGAGTGTTCGGTACCGTTCGAGTGTCGGCTGGTCATTGCATTGTTCCTGGTGCAACAATGTCAAACCCGCATGGATGGTAGAAGTCTCATTACTGGGCTGTAATCTGATCATCACGAGTCTGCAGCAGTCAAATTGTGTCGAGCTCAGCTTTCCCATGACTATGTGGGATGAAGCGCCTCTCAACAGCGCGATTTACTTGTGTTGCTTCTTTCTTGGCAGCTTATTACAAGAACACCCAACGTATACCGCTTGATCGTTCTGCGTCGCATACTTGCTGCATTACAGCTTACAGTCAGATTCGATTTACTGTGCTGTCTGCAAATGATGCAGCCACAGCTCTACCAAATGAATCAGCATACTTGAGCTTGGCTTTACATGTCGCACGACAAGATTTTCGATGTAAGCTCTGCAAACTTCATCGCAAAGTGCTGTTGCTGAGCCTGTTTTATTTGCTCTTCCCTTCTTCTCCGATTCAGACGCATTCTTCTTCTGCTGATCCAACGTCCCCTCAAACTTTTCTGCGTGTGAGACTGTTTGAGCTGTTACATTCATCAGTGTGTGGCCAGCAGCTGCTCCTCACTTCTCGGCGAACCGTTTGCTTTCTAAGGTCAAGTCTTGACGTCCTGCAGCTTCAGAGTAAGGTTGTATTGCATATTGCGTCGAGACCAACTCGCCTTCAATCTCGAGTTCCATCTGATGTTGTAGGTGCGAAGAAGATAGTCCCGCTAGCAGAGGGTTCCACTCGCTGCTGTTGTCTTTTATATTCTCCACTTGCCTAATTCGGTCGATCCATTCTAATTGATGAATGACGCGTGCTCGCTGAGAGTACGGACACGCCCTGAAGTGTTATGGCCGTGGATCATACGCTGCAGACACAGCCGGTAGAATTTGGTGGCATCAAGTACGAAGATTGTGGAGTATCTTGGTGTGCCGTGGCTTTGTTACAAGACACGCGCAATTTGGATTCGCCGGTGGCGTTGGATCGAGCAATTCAGATCTATTTCACCATCGCTCCCGACTTATTCCGGGGATGGCAACGTGATAGGCGAGAGTCCAAAGGAAAGCCGCAGCTTTGAGCGTTGCTTTGGTGTCTTGTTACTAGATGTATTCACCAGCGGCGACGGCGTTATTGCGTCGAAAGGCAACGCAGTAGGGGTCGTACAAAGCGTCGCAATGGGTGATGCCGACCACTTGGGTCGTCCCACAGGAGGTGACTCCCACTCGTTATTTGTTGTCATAGCAGTGCGATGACTGTTCCTCTTAGTTGGCCGCGGTGAAGTTGATCGCGACGATGACGTTGTCCGTTGACGTGGCGACCGTTTTGGTGTTAGAGGAGGCAGCAACTTCTCCATTTTGTGCTGAGTTTCTTGCATTCCAGCTGCACAATGTGTTGTGGTCGCTCTTTGTCGTCGATGCAGGTCCATTGGTATTGACGGAGATGTCGTCCGTGTCTTCCTGCTTCTGCTTGTCGCTACTGCTGCTTTATCTTTTGATGACCGAATGACTGGCAGTGGTGTCCGCAATACGTCGTACTGTTTTTCATCCTCAAAGAAGCTGTTGGTCCCACGTGACGTCTCAAATGAGTTATTGGCCTTTTCTTGCTGAGAAAGTGGTGAGAAAGTCATGGGTTTAAGCTCAGCAAGTGCATCAATGCTCCAGTTTAAAGCCAGACCGTCATCTTGCTCTTCAATCTCTTTTTTCTCTTCCTTCTCTATTGACTCTTCGTGTGCTAATGCCGCCTCAAAAGAAGGAAAATGATCTCTATCACTTGTCAAAGCATCGAATGGATTTCTGTTGCTGCTCCAATTGAAAACCTCGTCATCTTCTAATGTTTCGGCCATTCTTGCGATTATTCCTGTCAATACAGATGCTGACAGCGTCTTTATTGGTCAATATCGCTGACCTGGCACTATCGTCCATGCATGCATCGTTTTGGCCGACAAACACGTCCACACGTTTTCGTCTGGTGATTGAGAAATAGCTACTACTTGCAGTGTCACGACGGCGAAAACGCTGCGATGAGCTGTTCCTTGATAGCGTCTTTTGCTATCAAGAACATCATCAGTGATCGACATCAGGCAACGTTTTCGAAACACTGCTCCAATACTGGGGACCGTTGCAGATGCCAATCATTGAGTACCTACCGACGGAGGTCAGACGGAATGCGTACATCGCGTGCTCGAAGATACTTCTCCGTGCTGATGCACTGCGGTTGTGGTCAGACCAGACCGCTTGTGTATGGTGCCCATATTTACACACTCTGCTTAAACGTGCGTGACACACCCATTTTGCGCGACAACCTCGTATGTAGGCGGACGCTTTTGCAAGCTGCCACGTCCTAGTAGCACACACCTGCTATCAAAAGCATGAGAAGCGATTAAGCCGCGTACCTCCGCGTGCGGTGGTAAGGTTGACGGTACCCGAGGCGACTCGTCAGAACGAACTACTCAACCGCGTCGCGGAAGCTATTGTGGTGGAGTGGATTCTCAAACGACGTAGGAGATCCACAAACACACACAGCGCCGGACTGCCGCTTTACGGAGGGGGTACCCCAATACCGTGTCGTGTTTACCTTGGGTCTCACCTTATGTACTCGTCGGCTTGGCTGGTCTTGCTCCTCATTAGACGCAGAGGCTCAAAGACTTGCTATTTGTATAGATCGGCTCTTCGTGGTCCACGAGTGGATATACTTCATTCGAGACCGAGTTACTCGGGCTTGATCGACTGGGTCGAGAGCGATGCACCTGGTACTATGTACCCCTTCAGTGGCTAACGATTTCTTGTTCTTTTGAACCCTTTTTTTCTTCTCTGTAAAGAAACCACTTTCTTTAGCGGGGCTTGAGGTATGGCTACTCGAGACAAACTCACAGGCCAAAAGACTTCCCGGGTTTCGTTCGAACTTGAATCTTACCACACGACTGTCCTCAACGGGGGGGCAAAATATATCCTTTCCCCGGAACAGGTGGGTAGATCGAAACAAATTCGCACGTGAGTCTTGACACCTCAGGGAAACTATCCTGAGGATCAACTTGCGTTGATTGAGCCGTCACCTCACCTGACGTCGGGGAGCCAAAGGGTTTTCCGCCAAAAATAGGTGAGGCGACGGAGAAGCTTGGAGGGGGTGCTTAGAGCTGCTGTGGTGGAGCGGGGTTCACAAAATTTCTGATGTGACCCTGACTCTCCACTGGTGCCCGGACAACCGACTATCGGAGGGGGTACTCCGTTTCCGTGTAACTTTCCTTCCTCACCTTGTGTACCCGTCGGTAGGGCGGGTAGCACTCTTCTCGGTGGACTTGAGTCGATGTTGAACTTGATTGTGTTAGGGATAGGTGGGGGGCGATCGAGTGGAATTCCTCACACGATCGCAGTTGTTCTTGGGGCACTCTATATGAGTCGCCCTGATCTCTCTTGAGATCTCCTTGTTCAAAAATGTAGATACTTGATCCACTTGATGCACTTGACCTTCTGACCACTTGAGCCGTCTCGCGATCTTGTGCCTTGTCCTTTACGTGATACTACGTCCAATCGCAGGCGAAGCTTGTTCGTGAGAGATCTTGTAATTCCTGGCCAAACAATCCAGGGATATTACTCGTAGGTACTGGTGGCAGAAGCTCTTGATCGTCGGGGGGCCAAAAATATCCCACCCGGAAGAGAAGTCTGCGTGCGTAGTTAGAAGTAAAAGAAACTCTGTTTGAAGTTAACCAATCAAATACTAAAACCTACGATGCTGCCTATCTGTATACCAGGGTCTTCTGTGCCGCTTCGTCCTTCCAAAAAAATCAGATCTTGATATGTGGCCCACTCTAATATAGCGGCGATCTCACTCTTGGTTACGATGTCGATTATGATCGCATTTGTCGATCGTGATCGCCCTTGTCGATCGTGATCGTATTCGTCGATCGTTGTTCGCCTTTGTCGATCGTGATCGCAAATATATCCATGCTGATCTGATCGAAATTATATTCATGCCAATTGCTTCAATCGCGATCCCGATCAATCATGATCGAGCATAAAAGGTCGACATGTAGTCGTAATCTTCACTTGGGCTGTAACGATCATATGCGATCAATTGATCTATCAAATAAACTTGATCGCGCCCATAATATCACCAAGTATAATCCCATATATCGATCCAATCCATGTATGTGGTCCACACTCCAATCATTTTCCCACCGTTGATCAAAAATCCTTCGATCGGCTTCACCACAGCCGTCCCCTGCACTGAGTTCCAGCATACAGTGCTGGTGATCAGTGCATCCATTAATTTGATTGTCTCTCTCATCCAATTCTCGTGCCCATTATGTCGTCGTCTTCTCAGAATGTTACGTCCCCAGCCATTTCCACCGATACGACCGTTGATCTCAATGATCCGGTGATTTCATCATTTGTCCTAAATTTTGGATCATCCAATCTTCCAGTTATGACGTCGGCACCATTAGACATTACTCGTCCCAGCTTTCCTCCTAGCCAAGCTCCAACATCATCTTCGGAATTCCTTAACAGTCAAGTCACGCCCCTTCCATCGGTGGATCGATCCACTTTGAAGGCCCAAATCGACAATCTCTTCGATTGTCTAAAAGTCGACTCGATCCGTACGTACAGGATAACTACGATTTGTTTCGCAAAGCTTTACGCTTCCAATAGACTCGGTGCGATCGTTTGGAAAAGGAGATCCAAAATGATCGGGAATTGGCAAAGTCTTTTGTGGAATACGCCAGCGAAAAATATAACTCCCTGCGCCACGAACTTGAGGACGCCAATAAGTTGGCGGATGATTATCGCGAAGAATTGGGAAAAGCAGAAAATTAATGCCAAGAAATCTCGGACTTACGATCTTCTCTTCTTAAAGCGACTGCAGCCCGGCATAGAGACCAAGAGAAATTCCAGTTCCAACTAGCTGCCATCGAGAACAAGCTGGCCGATTTTATCGCTGCAACGAAAGTTGCCGAAGATCGAGCATCCCAAGTTATCGCTTCTGAGAATGAATTAAAGGCTCGCCTCTCCAAATCAAACATAAATTACAGGAATCGCGAAGCGCATGCAGACTGGCTCAGATCGAGCGTGATCAGTTGGCGCAGAAATTAATTAATCGAGAAAACGAGCGCAATCAGATAGCACAGACGTTAGCCGATAAAGAAGATGAACGCGATCAAGCTCTCCGCGCTCGAGACTCTCTCGTTGCTCGCTTGACCGATTTGCTTTCTGGTGCCGGATTTTCGGCTTCCTCCTCGTTGCCCACTACGATTTCTTATGAGACGCTTCTTTAACGGAACAAACGTCCGCACCAGGTAACTACCCCAGATAAGACAATCTCGAAGCGGTCACGCGGTGCTACTACGTCCCCGAGTTCACCGCCCACTCCCCTTTCCGACCAATCTAAATTCAAGTCTCACGTCCCTGATGGATCCCTCTCGACTGCTCCTCCTGGATCCACTGCCGGTAATTCTGACGAAGATGATCGATCTTTTAGCTCGTCAGACCAGACCGACGATTCGTTGATGGCTGCATTATCTTCGTCTCGGTCCACTTCCCGAAGACGTGTGGCGATACAGTCCAAGACGACTCCGCCTTCCTTATTGATAACGGTCGCCACTCCCAGCCCGATGGCTTCACCTCCTAGTAATCAGCTTCCCATATACATGGCTGATCTGTTTGGGGAGTCGTCCGATGATTCCGACAGCATCGGTAGCGAGTGTCGAAGTCTATGAAATCAGCTGTTACCCACGGAAGAATATATGAATCTCCCAGCCACAACTATTTCTCGCGATCAATGGCTTCCAGGCTATCGTGATCGGGTTTCTCGATCACCTGCCGATACCATTCCTTGGTCGGCACGGAAAGTCAGCTCGACATGTGTCTCAGAGTTGGATTTGAATATTTCTTCCATCACTTTCGAAACCGACGGGTTATATCGTCCCTGTATTCGAAGGGAAACACTGTAACCCACTTAACTCCGACTGGTCGTCTCTATTGATCACTTCTTCCCAGATTAAGCGATTATATGAAATCCAGCCTTGGAATATATATATGATTTCATGGTCGATCCAATTTCGTGCCGGCAAACCGGTTGGTACTCAGAATTGATTACTATGTATCATGCCTTCGAACTCCGTCACCGTCAAGCCCTGTGGGAAGCGACCCACTTTCTTCCGATCTCCATCAAGATGCATCGATCCGATCCTTCGTTAGCCACTTTTGCTAAGTAGCGAAGCCAACGGCGATCAAGAGCTGGACCCAGATGGAAAAAAGTGTTGATAAAGATTCTTCAAGGTATGATCGACGACCATTGTGACCTCGACATCCTGTTGGACCCCATATTCCTCCACTTTCCTCGTCCTAACGAGGTAAAATTGTGGTATCCAGGATTGGCCCCAAAGCAGATCAACATTCCCAATTTGGTCACCGCGTACTCCATGAGCAAATCTACGGAACCCTGGCGAAACCAAATTCGCTCTTCGATTAAAGATCATCCCGGATATTCCGTTGCCCGCCTGGCCGACAGGTTTGTAGCCCGTGAGTAATTTCTTTGATGTAGCTTGTTAAATGCGATCCTTTCGTATACTTTCAATCTTTGTATTCCATTATGATCGCATCCAAATTTACTTTTTTTCCTTTGATCGTGAAATCGTGATCAATTAAATTCGATCGGCGATTCTCGATCGTTTACTGACTCCATATATCCCGTTCCACCTTCATGCTTGACCTCATCACACACCTTCATTTTCCCTAACAGCCCACCGCTATCAGTCACGACGTTCCTCCTCGTGTGATTGCATCACCTCGAAACGATTCACACTTGTTCGATTGCGATCAAACTCTTCCATCAAAGCACCGCAATATA